AAAGTCTACTTGTAATTGTTCGGCGCTTGCGTTCTATAAAAACAGAAGCTCACATTCAAACTTTACAACAATCAAAAATTTAGTTATTGCCGACAATTCAAAGAATTACTTCCTTTAAATGTACTTACATTATATTATTCGATTAACCTTGAATAAACCTTTGCGTTTTAAGTTCAAAGCTACCATACATTTCCAACGTTAACAAATAAACTTTTTTGCACATAGTAACAAAAAAACACCACTATGTTGTTACTAGCTAAAGTTTTTTAACATCATATCTCGACATTTCTAAAATTTACGGTAAGGTAAATGTTTTTTATTAGATAATATATGGTAGCTAATTATAATTTGTTCTCTTTCAGCCCTGAAGAAGCCAAATTAATTCTCTTTGGCGAAAACGTTAGGCGAAATAATTGATACACATTAGAGTTTTCTTGCAGATTTCCCCAATATTTAAGAGTGTACTATTTAACTTATCTGCAAAGATTAAATTTCTTTTCTATATATATATATATATATATATATATATATATATATATATATATATATATATATATAATATAATATAACAATTTTATGTGTTTTTGTATTATTTTTTGTGTATGTGTATGTGTTAATCTAGATTACATGTTCATGTATTGTGTGTGGCATATGTATTGTGTATACCTAATTATGGACGATGTGTTTGCCACCTTCAATGTTAGTGTAAAAAACGTAGAAAACCATACTGCTTCAGACACAAATACTTGATAAACTAGACATTTGAATTAAATATTTACTAAAAAAACTCATTTTCAACTTATTTTCAAGTGAATACTTACTATATGGATAACTTAAGAACATTATCAAAGTTGAAGATATGATCGCCATGATAGGATCTACGTATTTTGCAGTATTTTTGTCGGTAAAATATACTAGGAGAGCGCATATTACAACCAAAATACAACCTAGAACAAAAAACATCGACTTTATATAATAAGTAAATAAATAAAAAGGAAGATAGATTATACAGCACCATCGAAAAAAAACGTAAGTAATAAATCCTTGGAATATGCCTTCTTTCTTTTTTTGGCTACGCCCACAAGAAATTCAAAATACATTTTACTTCACCTAACTTTAAATGTAAAAAATTATCTGATCTGTTTATAACACAATATTTATCAAAATAAAATAGTCTAAAATACGTTTAAAAACCCTTTTGATTAGTGCCGTAACATGTAACTCGGAGAATTATTTGTCAGTAATGTAATAAAATTTATACACAAGTCAAATATTTTTTTTTTTATCATCATCATCATCCAGCCTCAAGAGTAAACTGCTGAACATAGGCCTCTTCCTCATGTTTCCAACCCCGTCTATCTTGCGCCGCTCTTATCCAGTTTTTATTGAGTCTTCTTAAATCGTCAGTCCATCTTGTAGGTGGTCGACCGACGCTTCTCTTGTCTTTCCTTGGCGTCCATTCCAATAACCTCTTTGTCCATCGCCCATCTGTCATTCTGGCTATGTGTCCTGCCCATCTCCATTTTAGTCTGGCTATCTTCTCGATGATGTCAGTCACTCCGGTTCTTCTTCTGATGTCTCGGAGATCGTTTGTTATTCTGTCTCGGAGAGTTATTCCTAACATGAACCGCTCCATTCTTCTCTGCGTGACTCTCAGTTTGGTATCTGCTGCTTTTGTTAAGGTAAGTGTTTTTGTTCCGTACGTCAAGACTGGGAGGACGTACTGATCAAATACCTTTCTCTTTAGGCATGTGGGCAGCTCACTTTTAAAATTTTCTCTCAGTTTTCCAAATGCTGCCCACCCAAGGCCGACTCTTCTCTCAATCATAATTTCATGTCCCAGGTATTTATATCTATCTACGAGTTCTATTTCTTTCCCACCAATACTGATGTTCTGGTTGGGTACCAAATTGGTCATGATTTTTGTTTTCGAGATATTTATATTTAAACCTACATTTTCTGTAGCCAAAACGAGTTGCTGTACCATCTCTCTTGCCATACCTAGATCTTCAGCTATTATAAGTATATCATCGGCGAAACGTAAGTTGTTTAGATATTCTCCATCTATTTTTATTCCCTTTGTCATCCAATCCAAATTCATAAAAGCATGTTCTAGCACCGTATTAAAAAGTTTAGGTGACATTGGTCTCCTTGTCTAACCCCCCATTCTATTTTTATGCGATTACTATTAGTATGTAATCTGACAGTGATTGTTGCCTGCAGGTATATTTTGTATAATAATTTAGTATATCTATAATCTAGCCTGCATTCTTTTAAGCGCCTGTAATATTTTGCTTAGCTCAACTGTGTCAAAGGCTTTGTGAAAATCGATAAATATTAGAACTAGAGGTTTATTGTATTCCACTCCTTTCTCTATTAGGGTTTTTATACGTTGTAGATGGTCATTTGTTCCGTAACTTTTTCGGAATCCTGCCAATTTTTTTTATGTGAAACAATATCTAGAAAATGAATTAAAAAAAAAAACAAATGACGGTATGACGGTATTATATTTTGATTTGATACAGAGCAGCAACAAGCCGCATATACGTATTTCGATCTTTTTAGATCTCCTCAGTACGGTATAGTTACTACTCCATGCCAGATTTCGCCAGGTAGAAATCGTATGATTTCTCTTTTTGTTAAAATGAATTACCTTAACCGTCGAACTGCAACCATCTATATTTATTTTGTTTATCGTTCTTACTCGACGAAACGAATACAAAATGATTGATTTATATGGGTAAATTGTTGATGTTCTCGAAAAATATAAATATTCCTATCAGCGACCTATAAACTTTCTTAGCTCGCGTTTACAGTTTACTTATCGATATCACCGACTTCATTTTACCTCTTTAGTGGTCGCCATTAGCATTTATTGATGATTTAGTTTACATGAGTTCGATTCTCCGTGCGTGTAAGTTAAGTAAAGCCGTCGGTCCCCCTGGGCTAGTGTACATAGGTACTTGAAACAGTGTTAAAGATGCAATTAGCACCAAAACCTGTCCGAAAGGATCTCTACGGAAAAAATACCATACGAAAATTTAGCCATACGCTCACACTCCCTCTAAAGAGAAAATTCACTCATCCAAAATACCTACGGTATCAAAAGAATTGAGCTTTGGTAGAACTCTTTATGTGTGTTATCGGGCCATAGGTGACTTGGTATGCTGAGGTATCTCACAAAAATTTTCGTACACATCTGGACGTCGCGAGGAGTACAACTTTCTACATGGTCTTGTAGAGATGTTCATTAAAACCCAGCTGTTTTATGTTCTCTAGAAGATTTTTCAGAATAACACCTGTAGTAGATAGAATAATAGTTACTGGGTACTTCCCATTTTCTATCGTCTTTCTTCTATTTGTATTTTTATTTCTAGATCTCTGTACTTGGCGATCTTTTCGTTGTATTTAAGACGCAGATAATTGTTATTAGGTATCACATCAATTAGTGTTGATTGCTTAGTAGGTTTACCAATTAATGAGATTTATAAACCTTCTAAACGTTTGGCATTGCTTTCCTCAGGTAGCTTAGCTTCCTCCGTGGCGAACTAAATTCCTACATTTCCTAACTTCCTACAAGGCGGAACTGAATTCAAATCTTTACCATTGTGCTTTTCTGTGTCATTTCAACCTCTTTAGGTCTCATCAGAGTGGCACATGTTGCTGCTCTCAATCGAAACAAAATCTATCCTGTCGTAGGACAATAATTAGCGAAATAATTCGAAATAAAAATCGAAATAAAAATCTAATACCGTCATTATGTTTTATTTCTTTACTCTATTTGGAATACCAGAAACTGAATTCACTACAAATTTTGACCATGATGAACGGCACGTTAGGTTAGGCACGTGGAATGCATATTTTAGATTCCTTTGCCGACTAATTCATCAATCTGTCTGCTTTTCAAGTTGTAGAAAGCACAGTGGTAAATATTTGAATTCAGTAGAGCCTTGTAGGAAATCTTATGATTTCTCTTGTTGTTATTAGATGGCGTTGTTATGTCTGTAAATAATTATTTCGATAATTATTGTCCTACGACGGGATAGATTTTGTTTCGATTCAGAGTAGCAGCATGTGCCACTTTGATGAGGCCTAAAGAGGTTGAAATACGTAAGTATAAGCGGCTTTCCGTTGCCCATCGAAATAAAAATCTAATACCGTTATTATGTCTTCTAACATTATTGCCACAAATTGGTCGCATTGCTCTTGTAGTGATGCTTTTCCCAGTTAACTTGCTCCTTTTCTAACTTGTCTACACCGTACTGAAGACGATCAATAGTCAGAAATACGTATATGCCTTCTATCTTATATACATATTTAATTATATATTCTTTTTTTCTTTGTTGCGAGCTACGCCGATACCCACTGACTTTATTTTGCTGTTAATTCCGATTAACCCCTGATTACAAATGGACTTTCTCAGTGTTTCTCTAGGACCATGTAAACCACCTATTACTCCATCAAAAGTTACCAAAACTTGACATTAAATTAAACTTTGAATACAATACGTGATTGCAATGAACTATCAGCGACCCTTTTTATAATTTAGTTTTGAAAAAACTCTTCTCAAAACACTCACTGAACAAACTTAAAACTGGATAAACGGTCCGATTTAATGGACAATGCAGTAACAACTGAATAAATTCGATCGGCCAATATAGCTGTCAGACGACATTTGAATCGTGGCAACTATTGAAATTGTTAAAGGCGTAGAAAACATTCTACGAAGTATTAGAAAACTTTTTGCCTATCTTTCCTACGGCGAGTTTTGCTAGATCACATCTGCGTTTTACTTCTTCTTGTAGTCACACTGTGTTTGTGATCAATGATACCAGATTTAAAAATGAGCTCACAAACTCAAACCACCGGTCAATCCTGTGGATGATGAAGGTGTGTTATTATTATCTCTTAGCTACTTAACATTGAAAGAACCTGCTCCCAAATAATGGCTGCTCCAGCGATCTAATAGTATAAAGGTAACAAAACTATTGTATCCTTACCGTTTACATCTCTGGTCATTTCCCAAAATCCTTGCCTTTGTTTTTGATTTGCGATCATAGGATGGATAGTTTTGCTTCTTGATAATCGTCTTGCACCTTGCTGCAAAGACTGGTCAACTACTATTTTACTTAAAACTACATTTCCGCTTTCTGTTACATAGAGAAAACTTCCTTGGTGGAATGTATATCCACCAATCAACAGGTAGCATACTCCGTTGAGTAATAAGCCACATGCTCCTAAAATAAAAAAAAATAAAAGTTCAGAATAAATGTAATTACACTTTTTTGTTGTTGTTTTTTAATTTAAATCTAAAAGTCAGTTTCCTTACCTAAACATAAAACCGATATGGAATGATGCATCTCGTCATGATGGTCGATATGAACCAATGTCTGAAATGCTTCAATAAAAATAGAAAAACTTAACGAAGCTAAAAACACACAACATATTAACATAAATATAACATCAGTTCTGGCCCAGCCAAACGTATTTTTTAACTTCTTTTCTTGGTTGGACCTGGTTACGGACGATTTTGTTTTCTTATGGTCATGACACTTTGCCGGGTTAGACGTCAACTCTTCTCCTATACTTTCGGTTACGCTAGGTGCCTTTTTCATTTCGAATACTTGTTTTGGAGTATCTTTTCCATACTAAAAAAAAAATATTTTTAATATAACTGGAAATTATGTAGTGCGATAAGAATGATTATTTAGATTTTTATATAATAGTAAGGTCAATCAAAAGTAGATTACTATTAAATAATATAAAATATTATTTAATGCCTATTTGGGCCAAGATTTGATGGTGTCACTTGTAACATTATACAATTGTGAACGCGTAGTGCTGTAAATTCAGCGCGCAAGTTTTTGCAAATTTTAGACAGGTGTATACCTGATTACTATAATTATTTTGTAAAAAAGGAAAGCAAATCGTCGGTGACCTGGCAACATCTCCTATGTGACTTCACCTATACTTTTCAGGAGAGACAAAAAACTTTATAATTATAAAATTTTAACATATTTCAATTGTTTGATTATGTTTTATGATCTGTCTGAAAACGACATTTTTACTTCTTATGAAAAAAGTTAATATTAAATTGAATTTAGTTTTGTTAAGCTAGATAGGAGGTATTGCTTTAAGTAATGTTACTGATACGAGATACTGATTTTAATTTAATGTGAACTTAGGAGTTTAGGTAGGAGACCATCTTAAAAAGAAATGCGAATCTTTCGGTTTGGTCAATTTTAGATCTATAAATCAATATAAGGTTGAATGTTCGAATAAATGAACTTTGATGGTACACAAGGCAAATATCGAACACAGTATTTAATTAAATCTTGCCCAAGTACTTTCGATCACAAGATCATCCTCAGGGGCATTTCGTCAATTGTGGCCTATCCAGCAATAACCGAATGTCATACATGTAAACTGGGACATAACAAATACATACACTAAAGACAAACAAACACTTTAAAATTTAAATTGGAGAAGCTACATTTTTATATTATAGAAGCCGGAGACAGAAATTCTGTCTCCGGCTTCTATAATATAAAAATGTAGCTTCTCCAATTTAAATTTTAAAGTGTTTGTTTGTCTTTAGTGTATGTATTTGTTATGTCCCAGTTTACATGTATGACATTCGGTTATTGCTGGATAGGCCACAATTGACGAAATGCCCCTGAGGATGATCTTGTGATCGAAAGTACTTGGGCAAGATTTAATTAAATACTGTGTTCGATATTTGCCTTGTGTACCATCAAATTTTAGATCTTGTAAATGTTGCCATTTCTTCGTGTTTATTTTAGGAGGTGATAGAAATAAAGGTGGATAGTCCAGAATTGTTGGCATAGTCTTTGGTTTGATAGGGACTTGTAAGTATTCTCCTTTATGGTCAGTTTTTATTTCTACGAACCCAACTGGATCGGATTTGATACATTTTACATCAGTAATGGTTGGGCGTACGTTTGTCTTCGTGGTCGGATTGAGGAATATCGCATGTGGTTGGAGGATGAATAGTCTTTAAAAACGTATGGTCTAATATTTTGACTTTATATGGCTTAGCTCCCTTTCTAGCTTGAGCTGTTATTGGAAATATAGTCACCGGGTAAATGGATTTCCTTATTTTTAAGATTCCTTAATATTATACTATGTACCGAGTCACTATTATACCATTTGAGAGTGACATGTTTAATGGCAAGGTGTAAAGCATTGGACAGGATATTATTACGATTTTGATAACCGCATCCATCAGAATAAATAACCAATGACGTTTTGGAATCGGTAACACAGTTCTCATCTAAATAATATATGATACAGGAAACAAATGTAGATGCTGTGAGCTGGTTATTTCCGCTTTCTGAAAACCAAAAGCTCATATCATCGCGAGTTTTTAGGTTGTAAACTGTGAAGTTATGGCAGAAAAATTTGGTTTTAAAGTACATTTTGTTCGTTGGTACATATGGGCACAATTTTACGGCTTGAAGGCCCATTGTTAGTGATATTATTTCATCTTTTTCACTTATGGCTTTATCCAAAGTTTTAGCTTCTTTGGCGTCTTCCATTCTCTTTATATGAGCTCTATATTCTTCTTCAGTCGTATTCTTATGTTTAAATGCAAAACACATATTGCATTGGTCTTTTTCTGTGTATATAAAGCGAAATTATTCTCCTTAAATCGTTTTGAGAATATATTCTATTCTTGGCAAAAACTGTTTACATAAACACCTTACAAATCTGACATACTATTAAAAGAATATTCTAAATACAATTTTTGTGATTCGCTACGACAATAATGTGAAGGAAGTTTAGGTAAACTCTCAAAAAATTGTTCCAAGTGTTTATGACTTTCTGTATACCTCGTCTTTACCATTTTCTTGGTAGAAACACGTGATCCTCGTCAGTCATACTGCAAAAACTATTATGCACCCAACAATGAATGTGGTTTTATAATTTATGTCTGATGTATTTGTGAACATGCAACGACATTCTTATAAGTTTTTCTTTCCCGTCATGTATGTAGTAAGTGTACGTACCTTGTCTTCTTGAATTTTCCTTGTTTGATTTAAATGTTGGAGTTTTAAATATATGAGATGCTACAAAGACCTTACGTTAATACCTAGTCATATCTTAAAAGTTCTTAAATATATGACTTCTGCACTGTTCTGTAAATTCCTTGCAATATCTTAATTTGGAATTTTGACATTTTACTGACGTACACGCCTCTTTTAAAAGTTTTGCTTTTCTTTGTATATCTTGCTTAATCTTCCCGAATTTTTTACTAAACTCCATGTATACTTTACCTTCCATTCGAAGTTTTTTTGTGTCTGTATCTTTTCCATTGATTTTTATTCTGACCAATCTTCCTTTTTTTTCCTGGTAACTTCAATATCACTGGTTGTTTTCATCAGATTTCTTTCAATATTATTGTTTATCCTAGTATTAAAACTTTCTTGAACATTACTGGTATTTGTAATTTCATTAGTCTCGTCTTCGTCACTAACATATTCATATGGCACAAGAGATACGACACTTTTATTTTGTTCAATTGGCGATAGTATTTGTTTACTTGTTAAATTATCTAACACGAGGTTTACAGAATTATTGGTATCACAACAGCTGTTATTAAAAAAAATGCATTTCTTTAGATCCACTTGGTATAACACAATTATTATTATCCGCTAAACACTCTACTTCGTTAAAGTCTTTTAAGCAATCTGTTATGTCAAAGTCTTCCAGCTCCATACGATTTTGCATTGCTGTAAGCGTAGTAATAGGATGACTGTCTTTAGACAGAGGTTCGTCTAATACCATAACTAAGGCGTATTTTCTATATTTAAGTTTTCCCATGCGTCGATTTCATCAGAGTTTGTCAGTTGGTTTACTAGTAGAGTTTCTATTTGGTCGCTTCTATTTACAACCAAGTTTTCGTTATCCATTGCAAGTATACGCAAAGTTCTCTTCGATATGATTACTATACAATTATTGAGACAAACAAATGTTGCCTACTTGCAAATTTTATAATCACATAATATTACCATTAATATGTACATAATATCTTGTGAAACTTACCAGAAATTACATATTTCGTTAAAAAACAACTCATCTAGCATTCTAGCATCTAGCAAACAACGTCTACTAGCATTCAATACCCTATGACTACCCCATACAAACTGACAAGATAGGACATGTTGCATATAGTTTATTGTGTGAATTTATATAGGAGAAATTACAAGTAGCGTTTTTATATATTTAGACATTTTTCTCGTTCATAGAACTTGTACGGACGAATCGTTGGTGTAAGCAGATTCCGAATTCATCGATAACTCATTTTCATAAAAAATGCAGATAGCAGAATTTGCCACGTCACTGACGAAATGTTCTACAAGTACTTTGAAAATATCGCTGTACGTTCCACGACTGTTGTACTATTCAATGTAAAAGTTACAAAGGACAAAATTAAATGCTGTCTTGTAGAATTATTGTTTTCCACACAATTAACAACGGGAACATTTATAACACCCTGATGGGAAATGATTGTTGCAATTGCCAACATGCAAAATGATAACCAAATTGAATTAGCTTAATTTTATATTTTGGTTTTGAAGATATATGTCATGTTTCAGAATAAGAAAAACGCAGAGAAGTCCTTCGAAAACTCTATTTGAACAGGAAACTAAATTGGTCCTAGAATAAAATATTTCCGATAGGCAATTTAAAATTTGTCATATAAACCTGCACAGATACATTAAAAAAATTAAAAGCGGCCTTAAGAATCCTAAAGTTGGTTACAATTCACAAAACAAAATATTGCCAGTGGAAGATGAATTAATATTAAGCAAAATATATAGGAAATTCGGCGGACCTGTACTATGGGCTTACACCAACTGACGTTCATTCTTTGTCCTAAGAAAAACTTGAAGGTTCCAGAATAGTGGCACTTTACGAAAATGGCATCAGGGGATTGGTTTTCTAATTTCATGAAGAGGAACATAACCTTATCAATAAGAGTACCAGAAGCGACAAGTCACGCAAGGATTGTAAATTTTGCCAGGGTAAATATTAATAAATTTTTTGACTTCAGCCAAGCGATGGAGAGGAACAGATTTAAGCCTGTGAATAGGTATATACAATTTAGATGAGACAAGGGTTACAACTGTTCAAAAGCCGAGCAAAATTGTGTCAAAAAGGGGACAAAACAATTAGGAGCCGTTACCTCTGCGGAAAAAAGATACTCTAGTAAATCTTACGAATTACGAATATCATGGATTCAAAGAATGTCAAGCATGGAAGTACTAGTAAGGATAGGAAATGAGGCGGAAATAATATTAACTATTAAAAGACGAAAACTTGAGTACTTGGGACATGTGATGAGAGGGCAAAAATACGCATTATTACAACTTATTATGCAGGGCAATATCCGAGGAAAGCGAAATGTGGGAAGACGAAGAATATCCTGGCTCAAGAACTTAAGGGAATGGTTTGAATGCAGTAGTGGCAGAACTTTTTAGAGCGGCAGTCAACAGAGTCCGCATAGCCATGATGATTTCCAACCTTCGATAGAAGATGGAACTTAAAGAAGAAGAAGAAGTAAATCTTTGCCTGGCTGTAAACGCAATAGGGAATACGGTTCCCCCCAATGTTCCTATTCCAAAAGCGGTTCAAACCATACTTTATGATTCGAGCTCCAGCAGGTTCAATCGGAGAAGCTAGTGGTTCAGGTTGGATGGACATAGACACTTTTTTAATTTTCATAAACCATTTTGCAAGGTATACTAAGCCATCCCCTAAAAATAAGGTACAGCTTGTACAGGACAACCATAAATCGCACCTAGGTCTTCAAATTATTGACATTGTTCTTTTGTCTTTCCTTCCACACACGTCGCACAAATTACAGCCGTTAGACCGCAGTGACTACGGACCACTAAAATCTTATCTGAATAATTGTATGGATGCTTGGATGAAGAATAATCCCGGTGAAACTATGACCAATTTATGACTTACCTGGACTTGTCGCTGAAGCACTACCTAAAGCTACTTCTCCAGCCAATATACTAAGTGGTTTTAAAGTGACTGGACTATTCCCTTTTAAATATGGAATATTCGAAGAGCACGAGTCTACACCATATTTACCTAGTGACAAGTCATATGATCCTACGCTTGTTGAATCTGCCACAAGAGAATCTGTGCCATTACTGCCATCCATCTCTAAAGAACCACTTTAATTTAAATCTGATGGAACTGTCGAGAACGGAACAGCGTTCGAGATGGTTGCAACAACATCTAGAGAAACCGACAAGTTAAGTACTTCTAAGGAACTATATGGAAAGTATTCGCCCATTTTCAAAAGCTCCTATGAACTACTAAGAATAATACCACAAATAAAAGAAAGAAGAAAACAGATATATTTACAGAAATACCAGAGAAGATCGCACTTGAAAAAGAGACAGCTAAAGAAAGGAAAAAAATGCCAATAAGATCAAAAAAACCATTGTTGAAGAAAAATGAGGAGACATAATTGAGCTCGTTGGATGATGACGATGCTTAAAGTTTATATTGTTTTCCAGCCATACTCCAATGACCAGTATGGTGAGGAATGTGTGAAATGCCAACTCTGCAAAAGTTGGGCTCATGCTCATTGCAGAGATGATTAATTTTTTATTGCATTCATTGCACAGAAGATTAAATACTTATGTTTCACACTTTTAAATGTGCTAGTTTTTGTTCAATATTATATACCTAGTTGTCTTGAAGAAATAAATATTATTTTGTAACTATTTTTTTAGTTTTTATGATATATATCAAGTTGTTATAATTATCCCAAAGTTTGTTACAATTGTCTCCACGGGAGGTGCAATAGACATCGCTATATAAATTATGATTTTATTTGACTTATTTGGTAAATTGCCATGTGTTTCTATCTCCACTAAAATATAGCCA